AGTCTATACTTACTTCAGTTTGCCTGAGCATCAAATGAAGAGCACCTCGCTGCAACAAATGTATGAATACGAGATTTCCTGGCTCAGCGTTCACCTCTGCCAAAGATGCTGCGAATCCAGCCAAATTCTTGGCACAGCACTAAAAAGCAGCTTAGTTCTGTGACATAGGATAAAGTAGAAAAATAAAGAAGTACTTGCATTTTCATCTAGCAGTTGTAGATGCCTCAACAATTGGATGGAGAAAGCCGTGTACATCCGCAATTGCCTTTGCAGGGTTCCACTCTCAGCCTCATGCCTAGTGAATAACGAGAACGAATTCTGCAGCAGAGACAATACGCCTCTAACAAAATGACCTTAAATAACGATTTAAACATGAAACCATTGGCAAACCTAATTTGTACCGCTTATTTTTCAAAAACCAAATAGCATCATGACTGCTCAATAGTTTCGCACGGGTTGTCTGTTCCCTATTTTGCGTTAAAGGAGCACACCTAATTTCGAACTTGTAGCAGCAGTTAAAAACCCTTTGTCGAAATAGCATTAAGTATTCTTCCTCAAACCTTGCATGGCCCCGGAATTTCTAAATTTTGAATGCCAGAACAACAGAAGAGCACTGGATACCAAAACCCTAGAATATTTGAGATTACAAGCATGAAATTAAATCACCTTTGCTCGCTGAGCAAACGGTTGAAATCGTTGTGCTACGATCCTCGGTTAAAATGTCCTTGTTGGTGAACATATGACAGTGGCTCGAAGTATGAAAGAGGTAGAAAATGGCGGATTTCCTTGTAGAGTTGAAAGTGACGCTGTTAGAAGGCGACGCATCTACGAAATAATACAGAGTACTTTAGGCGATACAAGATATAATCAATGAGAAATCGGGTGATTACAATGAACAGAAGCCGTTCGAAAATTGAATCAAAATTTCTTCACAATAATTACCGCCCATTCGAATCATTTAGTAAAAGATGTAAAGGTGATATTGAAGTAGCGTGAAAACTCACCTTGTAGGCACGCTCATGAAGCATACGTTTCCGGAATGATCGAAACCACGTCGTCCAGCACGACCACTCATTTGACGGAACAAGAGAGGTGTAAGGAATGGTGTATCCACACCAAACAATACCGTCTTACAAGGCATGTTGACACTGAAAATCATTCACTACTTCAAGTCTAATCAACATCAAGAAAGACGCGATACAAGCGCATCCGATTAAAGTGCAGAAGCGCTGAGAATATAACCTCACCCAAGAGCGAGCGTAGATGTGGTGAAGATTATCGCCAAATGACCACTACGATAGAGCACCTCCACAGCTCCTTTTTCGGCGTTGTTCAGAGCGCCGTGATGGTATCCGATTCCTCGTTCAAAGAGACGGAGAAGAATTCTTAAGCAAGCTAGTTCGGTAAGTGTAAAAATAAAAGCTGAATCCACTTCAGATTAGCATTATACTTGTGATCTTCTTTGCAAGATTACTTCTCAAAGTTTACCTTGTGCTTTCCCTTCCTCTCGCTCCCTTTTTCATTCTGTCAACCATTTTTTCATAGACATCCGGATCTTCCTCACCACGACCTCGTAAGCGGAACCTATAACGATTTGCATTAAACTCTAGATAAGCCAACGTGCTGAAAATACAAAGCATGTTCTATTTACCTTGACAGAACTTGCTTCAGCCTCGCTCGCTGAGCCGCGAATGGATCGGCCTCTTCATCCGCAGGAGGGCCTTCGTCATCTTTCTTGTCTTTGTCTTCATCATCACCTTTACCACCCTTACGCTTCGCTGCCTTCTTCTTCTCTTCCAAGTCTCGCTTACGTTTTGCCAGTTTAAGATATTTCTAGAAACGGAACTTCTCTTTTCCCTGGTTTGAGATAAAGCCCAAAAACTTGGTCCAAAACTAACGTCCTCGTCCTTTATAGCATACTTGGTCTTGAATTCAGCACTATTCATGAACGCCTGAAATAGTGGACGTGAAACCAACATGAATTGTATGTGGCGACAAATAATTCCCACGCACCGTCTCTCTCGCTTCAAGTTCCTCAGCAAGTCGTATCGCTAACGATTCGCAAACATTTCGATCGTCATTGAAACACATCGCCGGTAGCATATTCCTTTCATTCATCTCATCTACCAATCTAACGATATTGTCGAGGGCCAGTTTTGGCTGTAAACATATTTTATAAAATGAAAAGCTTAAAAGTATGAAAGTGATGTTAAAGGTTTACAAAAAAGTTAGGAAAAAAGCCGAACGAGAGAAAAGGATTGAATGCAAGCTTCCCAAGAACGAGAAATAATATTCGTCAAAATAACGTGACTATATTAAAAGCAATCGAAAAAAAGAATGGTACCAAATGGAGTTCCGGATGAGATCCACTTGAATTTTGGCAAACATTCAAAAATATTTTTTTCACGTTTTTTTTTCTTTCTAGAAACTGTAGCTCTAAGGACAAATCCATTTACGACCAGGTGGAACCTATCTATACTTTGCTTCGATTAACAACCCTTCTCGGTTTCTCCTGAATTCCGTTAAATATAAAATATAAGAAATAATTTACAAAAAAAACACCAAAAATGAAACAATACACAGACGCAATTAAATCCCATAATCACAACAGGCTTACCTTGTTGAATGGGACCGCTCGGTGCTGTAGCTGCTCATCAATGGGTTTGGATAAAATTGCAATGACCTGAAAAATGAGAACAGCATGAGGAATAGCTTGGCACGCTATGAATATGACGGCTTGACGAAAAAATGGACACACTCCTCATTTTTTTCTATATCTTCCGGCCACCACTGGAGTTAGTCGTTTTCAAATCAGGACTCAAGTTTTCGGAGAGAAGCGCGTGATATCCAGAAAGGTTCAGCTGCTCTGTATCCGTAATATCGGCACGGCTCGAACTCATCCCTAGAAAATGCATGACATCAAAATGATGTTTTTCGATACTCTTCCGAATCGTATAATAAAATTCACGCACTGGTTTTCTCATCTACCTGCGCAGAGTTTGTGTATAGCTTGCAACATTGTTTGAAGTGAGTTTGGCTGTGTCAGAATTGCCAAACTGAGTATTTTCTCAGGCATGAAAGACGTAGCGGCATGATTGTTGAGATACCCTGCTTCATTTGTCAGGACGAGTGTTCATTTCCCCCGTCACTTTTTCCAATCCGTCTTCGCCTAAAAGCATGTCCCGAGGTTACGCTCCTAAGCGAATGGGTACTCAAATGAATTCTTTCATACCAGTTATCATGGTTTCGATGGGTTGAGGCTTTGGCACTCGCACGATGGACAGCTCCAACTCAGAATATCGTTGGTGAACGATAAGCCGGACCTAAAACGACACGAAAGTAACAGACCTCATTGCGTGACCTGAATCGACTTTATTTCGTAAATCCTTAGGAAATTTATTCCAGCAACATCAAGACAGCAGGATCAGTGGTCGTTAGATCAAGTGGAAAACGTCCCAGGTAAGCCGCTTAACTTGACGAAAAGCAGATCACGAGCATTCGAGAAGAGGATCTATCGCCGCTATAAGCCAGCCTTGACTTGAAGACTCGCGCGGTACGGGGTGAAACTTCTGGCAGGATTTTATAGTTACCAAAACAGCAGTGATGAGGCTACCATTTTCAAATTAATATTCTTGAGAAATCGAAAAAAATCAACCTTTCGTTTGCGATCTGTCTTGCTTTGTTCGGCACTGTCTAACCAAGCATGCAATTTCGCAGCATTTCCAATTGTAGCCGATAGGGCTAGGAAGGGACACTGAATTAGAAGAAGCAGATGCTCCCAAATGTGTGCTTCAGGCGATGCGCTTAAATGACGTAATGAGCACAGCAGAATTCGGAAAGAAAGCAATAGCTATACTGGTAAGCTTACCCGATCGAATGCACTTCATCAAACACTACATATTTGATGTGTGAAACAAATTCCTGCACTTTCGGATGAGTAGATAACATTAGTGCTTCTAAGGATTCGGGTACTGTGACCAACACCTGAAACTCTCAATTTCGATGAAAAGCATGTAAGCAGAAACCTAGCTAACCATAAACAAGGTTTTATGAAATGAGATAATTAACCGACGTGATAGAACTCTCGTGAAAATTCGAGAATGCCCCAAAAGTGCTAATGGTAAGCAGAAGATTGGAAAAAAAGTGAAATGAAAATGAGTCAAGGCGAAGATCTACGATCTATTCAAACATTCTCATGCCTGTTTGGTTTCTCTGCGTTATACGGAAAGACTGCATTTGTTGCGCTAGAAACGCTACGTACCTGACATGCAAGCGGATTGAGAGAATGTTCAGGGTTCAAGGTTCCGAAGAGTGACTTCCCTCGCGTCATGCTTTTGTTTCGGAATCGAGCATACACTGATCCACAAACCTATAAAAAATTAGAGAATCAGGTTTGATAGCAGCAAAGACTGCTTGTTACTGACCTGATTGATAAGGGCTTTAGATGGTGAAACATAAACCACGACATCATCATCACTATTTCGTAAAACTTTCTCAATACAATAATATGAGACGAAAGTTTTACCAGCTGACGTGGGTGCAACTATGACGGCAGAGTTGCCTGAACTAGTAATGATTATGTAAAGTACGGGAAACTTCAAACATCTTGAAGCACCGCAACATACCGCGATCCACAGAATCCAGCATTCGTCTTTGCCATGCGTCCGGGGAGAAACCGGTCACGCGATCGTCTTTTCTAGGATCCGACTGAATGTCGATAAGCTCACCACCATACTCTAATTGGTAATAGACCATGTTCATGCCGAGATCCAATCTTTTCATTTTAGCTTCTGCAGAAGGTTGAGTCTTCAATCCAGGTGGCACCTCAAAGCCCAACGTTGCCCAGAGTTCAACGACTTGCTCTTTTTGTTTGCTGTCTAGGTGCGCCCAGTGATGTACGTAGCAATCCTTCAGCCAGCCCACAAAAGGAACTGCTTCGACTCTCCTTAAAACGATCTGATTTGCTTGATCCTACACTCACAAACAAGCAACGCTTACCTTTTTTCCAAGTTTTCTGGTCCCGTTAGTCGTCCAAGCAAGTCGCGCCCTACCCTCACTAGGATTTCAAAGGCACATAGTGCCTTGGATTCTGGTAGTTCCAGTGTACTATAGGTACGCTCGAGGAAAACCACAGCCTTGAACAAAACATAATCAATCCGTTAACAACCTCAATTACTCACCAACTAACCTTCTTCCCCTGCTGCGACGCAAATTTGATCTTATTTTTCTCACTCTCTATCAATTTAACATCCTTTGCCTTTTTGTTAGCTTCTAGGATGAGATCCTTCTTAGACTTGGGTGGCTCCTTTGCTCCCTTCTTCCCACCTGCACCACCTAAAAAGAAACGTTTCGTGACTAGAACCACAACAAATAAACATCGCTACGATTTCAAATACCTTTTTGTCCAGACCATGCCTTTCCACCCTTTTTCGCCGCATTTTCAGTAGGCTCATCCTGAATTGCTTGAGCAAATCCTTTCGGAACTCTCGAGAAATCCACAAGAAGATTGGACCCTCGACCTTCCAGTGAATTCGCAAACATTTCATACCTAGAAAAACGGTAATGATTGAGTAGAAATTTCCAACAACGAATGACTCACCATCTGCTCATATATTGGCGTGCTCTGTTTGCCCTTTTTCTCTGCCATTCATCAGTTATAACTTCAGTTTTTGTGAAATCCTCTTCAATAGGCCTCAACTTCCACGACAATTTCTCTTGCAAAAGCGCAACGTAGTCTGAAAAGACGCTGCACAACTTATACGAAAACTTAAACTGAGTGCATAGAGAGAAATAAGAGATCTCTATCGGAATACGAAAAGGCTGGATACCTTGTTGTCGTCCATCTTCTATAACTCTGTCAGAATGGGCCGTTTTCAACTCAGGGATGTATTTGTCCAGTAATGGAGACTTGACGGTGTAAAGAAGAGGAAGGGATGACAAAGGATTCTCTGCCTGAAAATTCTCTCAATTGCTCGAGTAACGTATGGCTGAAGTAAAAATGAAAAGAACCTCAGGTATAGGATCAAGGAGCTTCTCAGTTGTATCAGTTGGAATAGGTAAGGTAAGAGATGCAGCTGTATGTAAACGAGCAAAATCTTCTTGCACACGATAAGGCAAAACCTGAATGAAAAATCCATTTTGGCGACTTGACAGAAGACATGAAAATGCATTATTTACCGGATCGGTAGCACATATGGCGTCGAAGATACCAATAACCATGCGACCATCCCAGAAGTCCGAGAAGGAGAATTTCACCGTCTTAACGAAACAGACTTTCATGCACAACGAAAAACGAAAGCCGACTGATAGGTCACAAAACTCATGGAAACAGATATACTCACAGCGTAATTCAACTTCTCCAGATATGCAGTTGCTGTTGTGAGAAGTAGGCGCCTATCTCTTTATCACGTCTAAACCACGTTTGGCACCTTCTCTTTCTGGGAGATAGATACGTGATGACCCGCGTTTACCCGTCACAAGAGCCGAAAGAAGAACAGCACAACAAAGAGATTCAAAATGTTCTGAAGCGGTGCCTCTAAAAATAGGAAGTCGAAAGCCTGAATGTGAACTAGACTAGCGTAAACCTGAAACTGATCAGTACCCGCTCTTGGCAGCAGCAATGATATGCGCCCAAAGCTCTCCCACTGATTTGATTGTAGACGCATCTTGAGTAGGAGTCTTGCTCTGTTTAAGCAACGCACCTGGAGTGCAATAAATTGCCATTCCAGAATCAGAGAAAATAAATTACTGTAATAGAATCGTAATGATAGATACTCACTGTTGCACTCCCAATGTGCTGCTGTGAAGCTTTCCCAATTATACTTGACACAAAGGCGTGGTTCGATATAATATGCAGAGACAGAAGAGAAGTTAACGACGACTGATGTTAATACTACGACCGGTACAGCTTGTGACAAAGCATCGAGTACTAAAATAACAGATAAAAGCATCTTCAAAAAATCGGTAGATCTTGTAAGTTTCGTTTCCCATGTTTGACATTATACTATCCCATATTAAAATAGGATTCCACGACAAAAACAAAGGTCGAACAAGGGGAGACTTACCTAGTGGGAAGACAGGCGGACCCCCAAGGGTGCGGACCGACACGCAATTCGCATCGAAGGATATGCCCTTCGCGATCTGACATTGCCTTACCTTAGGCACAATTGGCCCGGTATGCCTTCCTCTCTCACGTGGTCTCGTGTCTGAGTCTCCAACCGTTCAGCGGAGATAGTATTAGCGTTGAAGAGGGCAGCACCGAAGAGTCGCATCAATTTGCAAATCGTCGGACAAGGAGGTTCCGTTTCACGGATTCCAGGCCATTTTTCTCGATTTCTCTAATTCCCAGCATCACTGACCATCCTGACTTGATTTCCCATGGGAACCCTTCCCATCGTAAAATCCGCCTTCAAATGGTTTCTTCTCGTGAGACAAAAACTGAAATGCATTAAACACCCTTCGAATGACTCAAATCTCACCTATGGTTTCAAATTGAGGTGAAATATCTAAATCTTCCTGTGCGCATGCCTCCCTTGTTACGTTATCCGTAGAGATCATCTGCAAAGGCCACGTTTCAATCACTCGAGAAAAAACTGCTAGCTACACAACATGCATACCAAGAATGAGGGCGTCAGATCTTGTAGAAGCCGTTCCCAGTTTGGGTCGATGGGACTCGTGAAATACAGCAAATCCTTAAAGGTATCACCTCAGTGGAAATTTAAAAAAAGTCACCGAATAATCCAATGAATCAAGAAAGACATCGTACCTTTGCGAAGGGTCCAGCAGATACATGCGCGATCGCTGTGGCACGCGCAAAGCCTAAGGTGGTATCCCTGGCAAACTGAGATGTGAAGTCAGTGAATACTACTAGCTTGAACTTTCCACCAAAATTTACAAATTGCTGCAGAAACTTATCGATCTGAAATAGAAGGACTATTAAAGAGGAGAAGGTGATAATAGTAGCCTACATGTGACACATTTGGGTAAATAAAGGCAGAAAGGTTGTCAAGATGCTATGGTCGTTCAGGAAGAGATGCTTTCCCAATATGCGTCTTGAGAGATCGATCTCAAAGCTGCTGTCTAATCCTGCTGAAAAACACTGCATGGAGCCATGAAGCAAAGCAGCGCAGCAGTGTGCTCATGGTCAGCAGATGGTGAAAACGAGTTTCACTGGCAAGAGCAACTCAGACTTGCCTAAAACTACAAATTTTGCTAAATTTCTGCCCGGTCAGTTTAATCCCTAAACATGACACTTGTGTTTGCAACACCTAGCGCGTTCACTACTGAAGCTTTAAAGTCATTGACAATTTCAGACTTGCTAGAAGCTGCTCACAACTCCCCATAAATGAAATATAAGTGTGCGTTGGTGGAGCAAAGCGAACAAGTCTTTTCAGTTATGTTACCAGAAGTTAGAATTCAATTCATCCTCGCTCGTCTCAGAAGCGATGGTAATCTCAGAAGCGATGGTAATGGCGCGCAAGAGAGCGGA